TATAATTCACAAATTTTTATAAGCAAGGAGGTTTAAAATACTCAAGAAAGCCACAGATTACCCATAATTATGAAAAGTAACACAACATGTTAGTTCATGTCCTGAATTTCATACTTGTGAGCGTTAGCGAGTTAGATAATATGCACATATGCTGTAAAGGTTTCTTTCTCTAATGTGTCTGGTGTCTATGAAACTGGTTTCAAAACATCTGGAAAGATTGGGTTTACAAAATAAAGATGGAATGAAAGTGAGTGCACAATTAAATAACATGTTCAGCAGTTGGGTAATATGTTCACAAACTTGAATTTCCCTGATGGATTGTAGAACAAACTGCCTGGAGCACATTTTCACATTTACTTTACCAATGTTTCCTACAACTGAGAAACTCATATGGGCTCTTTTTTCCCCTGCCTCCTGGGGATAGAAATTTGGCAGCTGTACTCAGGGCATTTTAATAGGTAAGTTCTCAGGGCTCTTCCTGTTAATCACACTAGACAGTGCAGTGCAGCCTTTGCTTGCAACATGAAACAGAGTGTTATACTCAAGATGAAGTTCATACCCTTTATTAGTCCTGTTCCCTGTCATCTCTCCACTGACTGTGAGCTTCTTTGGCAAGAAATGTGCTGAGCCCCAGAGCTAGCAAACAGACACACATTATTTCCTTCACTAATAAAGCCGGCAGTGCTAACTAAGGTCACCGCCATCATCATCATTCAGGATACAAATAATCGTGGCTGGGTTTGTTTGGCAGGAAGAAGGCAAGGGGGGAAGGTTTTCATAAACCTAGAAGGCTTAACCAGATCTTTAATGCCATAGACTTTTAAGACAGCAGCTGGAGTCCAATATCAAATTGTTGGTTGGGGAATTTGAGTATCTGAGGTTTTACTCTGTCTGCACAGTGCCTGGGAGAGGATGGAAGATAAAAAAACAGCAGCTTTCTTCTTTATCTATGCTGCCTGTTGTGGATAATATCTGATGACTCTTTAGCAGTCTTCGTTGTTTCTTATTTTAAAATCCTAGCAATAAAATACAAAGAATGGAGCCAAACAACTTATAAATGGACAATAACCCCAAATCAAATAAGCGGCTGGCACCCAAGGCAATCACTAAACAGGACAGTACAGTGCCTGGAAAACTGAAAGCTCACTGCCATGATTAGAAAAATGGCCTTTTTCTTAAGCGATTGAAGTTCTCTCTGTCTCCTTTCCTGTCCCTCTTTTTTTGCTTTGCAAAGGGAAATTATTAAGAGATGATACAAGATTTTTAAAAAGTTTCTATTTTTACATATGATAACACCTAATGGAAGTGTTACAGTTGTAAAAAAAAGGAAAAGAGTTTTCAGACAGACATGAATTCAAATCTTGATTCTACCACTTCAAGTTCTATGATAGTCAACTTACTTAAACTCTTTGAGCCTCAGTTTCCTCATTTTGTAAAAATGTAGGTTATAAAAACAATGAAAGGGAATTACTGCAAGGATTCAATAATGTATGTAAAACAATAAGTACAGAGTAATATCTCAATATATGGAAGATATACATACATATATATATATATATATATATATATAAAATTATTATTTTTTTTTAATCCTCACAAGAAGGTATTTTTCCCATTGCTTTTCAGAGCATGGAAGGGAGAGAGAGGGAGAGAGAGAGAAGAAACATCACTGTGAGAGAGTCACATTGACTGGTTGCCTCCCACATGTGCCCTGACTGGGGCCAGGAATCGAGCCCACAACCAAGGTACGTGCCCTTGACCGGAATTGAACCGGAGACCCTTCAGTCCGAGGGCCGATGCTCTAACCAATGAGTCAAACTGGCTAAAGTGGAAGATATTTTTATTATCTGATTACCCCCATTCTCCTATTTAAACCATTTGAATATATATTAACAAATGGATCATCAAACAAATGGTCACCCACTATGCTAGTACTTAAACATCAGCAAAGAATTAAAAATTTCTAATTTAGAAGCCTTAATAGTATTAACATTTGTTGGGCATTTACTATATACTCAGCATACTCTGGGTGTCCATTTATTTTTATTATTTTATTTAATTCCTGAAGCATCTCTTTGTGGTAGATACTAGATACTATAAACTGCAATACTTAAATAATGTTCAGATGTTGGTCATTCAGAAATCTTAACACTATGAAGTTAAGAGAATGAAAGTTTTATTTTGATTTAGAACAACTTTGCAGAATACTAATTATAATGCGTGACAATATAGCAATATAGGGTATACTCTCAACCCTTCAAACTCTTCATCCGACAGATAAAGGATGCTCAAAAGTTTGAATAATTTGTTCAAAACCATATGGAAAATATATTTTTAATTTCCCTTGCAGGCCATCAGATCCTGAGATCAGATAACCTGAGTGTTCTTAAAGAAATTCTTTCCCCAAAAGAGATATGAAGCAAATATAACAAAATATTAACATTTTTAATTACTGAGGTTGGCACAAATAATATTTGTAGCTTTTTCCTCTGAGTTTTTCTGTATCTTTAAAATTTTTAATTAAAAAAATTGCTTACCTGCTTATGTACTTTCATTTTCAAAGCAGATATATTATCAACCTTTATATACACCAGCTTTCTAAAAACTATAGGCCTCAAATTTTTCTTTCTTTCTTTTTTAATGACAGGATGGCAAAGCACAAAGTCGTTCAGATTAAATTGCACACAGTGAACGATATATGCAATTCTCTAGAAGTCTTGGCAGTTTTCTTCATAATCAAAATCTTCCCTAATGAACTACAGTCTGTAAATCTTAAAATAACAGGTTTAAAAACAAAATCAAAACAAGAAAAAAAGAAATGTCTTTCATGCCTCATCCTCAAAAAGGCATCTTCATCACAGTACACATAAGCAATTCCACATTACTTGCTTCACCCCTTGACTCCAAACACACATCTGTACAGTATTTTTCTTTATGCGAGTTCTATGTACAAGGACAGCATGAAGCACCAAAGGAAAATGCACAGTATTTTGAAGTGTACAACTGGTTATTTAGAGCCAGTCAAACAAGGTAAGCATAGTGTATGCACTTTTAGTACAGCAGAACTTCCAAGTGTGAGGCAATGTTGAGAAGTGAAAGAGATGAGGATAGGAGTTCAGGTGACACAATAAGAGGTCAAGGACTTGGTATGCAAGAAGGAAGGAATGAGAGAGGGGAAGCTTTTGCTTTGAAACAGAGGCTGTAAGCTAACAAATGCCAGTGCATTAACACTGTTTCTGACTCTGGGTTTCTGAGTTTGGGTTTAACTCTTTGTATACAGCTAACATAAGACTTTTGGATAATGAGAGTTAATTGTATTTTCAACTGTGTTAACTTGACAAAATTAAAATGAACTGTAACTATTCCTCATTACTTTAGCTTTCAGAATTGGCTATAAGCTACACATTTGTCACCAGAAAAAGACTGCTTTCTCCTGCCAAGCTCAGCACCAGGGAATGTCTTTAATGGACTGCTTTGATAAAACCTTGGCACCACACACCCCTCAGATACAAAATGGAGGGTTAAGTCTGGCCAAGTGTGAATTTAGGAGATCCCTCTAATGTAATATGTAATCAATGAGATTCTCCCCTTTCTCACTGTAAGCTTACACTTCTGGGAATCACCACTTTCATGGTCCCAGAACTCTCATCGTTGGCCAAACTGTCTGTGACCCCAAACCACCACAATTTATCAGCCTATTGTTTTGGTTCCAGTACTGTTCCCATATTAACCCTGAAACTACTTGGAGAATTTCTTGAGACACTGATGTTACACTTGTATAGGGCTTCTAAATGGTCAAAACACATTCACACACACTGCCTCACTTCCTCCTCTCAAAATTCAAATGAGTATCTAAAATTCATCTGTTACTCCCGCCTGCTCCTCCCACCCATGTTTCCTGTCTCTAGGATGCTACCACTACCCATCCTGTTGGTAAAGAGACAAACCCAGAAGTCACCCTTGCCTCCTCCTCCTTGATTGCCACCCATTCACCAAATGGGGTTGGTTCTACCTCCAAATTGCTACTTCCTTCTAGTTCTATCTGCTAAGGTCAGGCTACCATCATCTTCTGCTTAGACCACTACAGTGGCCTCTGTGACTCTGGCCTCAGCTTCTCCAATATACTCCATACTATCGTACTTTCTGCTTAAATCTTTGCTGACACTCCAGTAGCATTAGGTAAAGTACAGACAAATACAACTTTTGAAACCTTGCTCAACATTCCCGCCCCATTTCTTCCTTACTAAGTCCATCCCTGACATCCTATATTCTGGCCACATGGAACTCAGATTTTCTTGAATGTGACAAACTTTTTGATACATCCATTCCTCCGTTTTGCTGCTTCATGACTCCACTTAGAAGTCATTCCCTCTAAGGAGAGAATTACAATACCCACTGACCTGCACTCCCACACAACCCAGGCCAGGTTATAAACCTGCCCTGTGCATCCCCAGAAAACCCAGAGTTCACTTCCATTAGCCCTTACTGTTTGCCTTACTTGTCATTTGCTCCTATCAGACTTGACGCTAAGTCAGAAGAGAAAGAATGTCTTATTTATAAATATTGCCAGAGCCTAGCACCAGTGCTTAATGTATACTTCTTAGTAAATGTTCAATAAATGCTTCTTGAACCAATAGATGTATAGGTTTTATGTAATTTTACAAATGAGAAATCTGAGGCAGAAAGCAGTTAAAGTCATGGACTAATTCAAGGAACTGAGACTAAAGCCCATGGCTTACGAACCCTGGTCCTAGAGGAGAAAGGCCACCACATTTCACTGGTCAGAATATCAAAGACTGAACAAAGCTCCTAGATTTATTAAATCTATAAAGCAATAGCAGACTAGAATTGACAACTGGAAGCAAAATCTGAATCACAGTTTCCCCTATGACCCATGTAGAATAAGCATTACACTCAGCGGGCCTTCAAGATGCTCTATTTTCAGACAGATCCCCACCTTTCCAGTAGTCATCAGCCTGATTTCAAAGGCTATATACTACCTTTTTCCTCTGTCACGTGTCGAAGTAACTTCTCAAGTTCAGGAAGTTTCAGCAACAAGATGCAATTTGGAAACACGTCATCCACCACAACTTGCTCTAGAGGCTGAAACTTTCCCTGAAAAAAGACTTTAGTCAGTCAGAATGCAAGCACACCAGTCAACTCATACATAAAAAATAAAAAAATAAAAATTAAAAAAAAAGACACATTACCTCATAGCTGGACTTTTAAACTAAGTTCAAAGGCACTTGTTCACCTAAGGCAGGGGTGGGGAATGTCTGGCCCTGCCAAGGTAACTACAAGCGGGACTCAAAATTCAAAAAATCTAGGAGCTTTTTTCATAGCTAATATTTAAGTTGATAGTTTTATATGGCCCGCAAATGATGTTATAAATATCCAAATGGCCCTTGGCAGAAAAACGGTTCCCCACCCCTGACCTAAGGAATCCCTAACTGGGAAAGGCTCCAGAACTGACTCTTAGCTCCCTTTAGGAAGCTCTTGAAAGAGTACCAACCTCAGGAGCACAGTCACTGGATAAAATAGGGCAGCAAAATTCTGGAAAAGCACTGGACATTATGGAAACTTGCCAAGATGGTAGACTGTCTAGGGCTGGTCCAACCCATTTAATTTGAAAAAGAACCAGCTGAGGTCACAGAGCAGGAGTCCTGACCATCACCCGGAAAGAAGCCTAGATCAAGCCCAGAGCATACATCTCCCTGCCCCTTCTCACTTCTCCAGCACTTTAAATAGCACTTTTTCCTTCAGAAGAAAAGGAAAAATACCAAAAATGAATCTACTCCTGTCAGAGCTGCCTGACAATGCTTCCAAATTTAGGCCATAATGAAAGAAAAGAGAGTAAGAGAATGGATACAATGAAGCTGCAGACTCATTAAATCAGGCTCAGCCAGATAAGTGCATATGGCCTGGTGGCCAGTGGCCAAAGGGCAGAACACAGAAATTCAGAATATCTTTCTTCTCAATTAGGTTTAGTTTTTCTTAACTGTACTAGTGGTATGGAGAGGAATTAGTCTGTCTAAGTTATTGTCCCCTGACTTGGGGACACCAGACTTTGTAACGCTATGTTGGTTTTGCCCTCATCCCCCTTCTAGCTCACTCTACTTTTCTGTGTGACTTCCATTTGAAGACAGAAAAACTGTGTTTGATCAGTTTTCTCTCTGCAAATACAGCTTTCTTTGTTTTAATGGTGAAATCTTCTAATTCATTCAGTAGCATGTGTAATAGCTTATCATGCTGTCAGGTTATCAAGTGGCAAGAAATGCCTCAATTCAAATGTTCTCTTTTTCCTTTCAATAGTAAAAATAATTCACAGATTTCCCAAATCTTACTGTCTTTAGGTTTCTACCTTAACATATATTCTTCCGTGATCAACATTTTAAATACTTAACTACCTTAAAACAATATTCTACATATATATAATGGACTACCACACAGTCATAATATAATACATGATATAATTTCCTAATTAATGTTTCATTCTTGTTTTCTTTACCATATATACATAAAAAGGAAATGTAATAAGCAACTTGCTTTGAATGTAGTTGGTAACAGTTGAGATAGCTAGAATAAAAAATTATTTCTTCTGATGCTAAAATAAATCTTATGATTAAAAAAGAGTAAGCCCACATTTTAAAACTGTATACCAATATATTTTTTTAACTAAATAGGAAAAGATCATGTCTAAAATGTTGGGAAGGAAACACCTAATCACCTCATTGGTTATAGAAATTAAGAACAGAAAGACGGTTTACAATGAAAACCATAAGCATTTAAACTATATGTGAACATTAGAGTGTAAAAAAAGAGATTCTTCCAAGCAGTTTAAATAACACTTATTTCTTAAAGTTATTCAAAGGTTTTCAAACTATGGTTGGTAGATCCTTGGGAGTCCCTAACATCTGTTCAGGGGGCCCACAAGCTCAAAACTATTTTCATAATATTGCTAAGATGTTATTTGTGTTTCCACTGTGTTGACATTTGCACTGAAGGTTCAAATACAAAGGTGGGTAAAACCACTGGCTCCTCACAATCCATTGATCAGGGCAGTGACAACAAACTGTCCTGGTAGCCCCTGAATTCTTCACTGCCATGCACAAACAGTTAAAAACTGGTCAGTTTCACTTAAGTATATACTTGATCAAAGGCAGGAGCAATTACTTTTATTTAAATCTTGACTCTTGAGTGCAAGTCTTTTAAATACTCTGATGAAAGTAAAGTTTCGCTAGTGTTTCTGCTGCCAGTGAAGGTGTACGACTGTCTCAAGGAAAATACTTGTGTTGAGTTGCAAGCTGAACTACCTGCTTTCTTCATGGATATCATTTTTACCAGAAAAAAACCTCAAAACTCACTATGAAATATGGTGATTTAGATTTGGACATTTGGCAGAACATAAAAGAAATGAATCTGTCACTTCAAGGGAAAGGCTGACAGCTAATGATAAAATGTTAACTTTCATGCAAAAATTCGAATTGTAGAAGATTTATATCTGCCATTATGACAGCTTCCCAATATTTAAACGGTTTTCTGATAAGTGGTGGTATCAACAAAGGGGAGCATGTGAGCGCATGCATGCGTGCTTGTGTGTGTGTGTAATGAGATGTCAACATTTGGAACATCAGCATAATTCAGTGAAATAATACTTTCCAAAGTTACACATGGGTAAAAGATCATTCTCAGTGCAGGACAGACCAACAGATTTTAATGTAACAGAGCATGGAAAGTGCAGATTCCACACTGCAACTGATTTTTAAGAAACTATGCCTTGTTGATTTCTGGAGTAGTGCCAAAGAAGAACATCCACAATTATCTGAAAGGCTATTCTACTAATCCTTCTTTTTCTGACTACACATCTGTGTAAGGCTGCATATTCCTCATATACTTCCACCAAAAGAATATAAAAAACTGAATGCAGGAGTAGATATAGAATCCAGTTGTCTTCTATTAAGCCACACATCAAAGAGACTTGCAAAAATGTAAAATAATGCCTCATCGGTCATTGACTTTTATTGAAATTGTGTTTGTTTCATTGAAAATGTGTTATGTTAACATGTACTGATAAATTAATAAAATTATTTTTAAAATTTCTCAGTTTTAATTTCTAATGTAGTAAATATTGATAGATAAAACCCACAGGAGCAAAAAGCTCTTTGGAATCCTTAATAATTTTCAGGAGTGCAAAGGTATTCTGAGATCAAAATGTTTCAGAACCTCTGGCTGAAGTTATTACTATTAATAAACTCTGTCTTAAGGTCAATTTGATCCATCTGGAATTCCTTAAATCTCAAGTAGAGCTTCACCATTAATTAGTTTTTTACTAGACATGCCACAGTTCACCTATTTCATGGTCTCTCACAAATAAGAAAATGAAAAAAGATATTATCTTTTTTCTTCTCTAAAAATCTGAGATCAATTTCTTAACATTTGTATTATAGTTAAAAACTAATGAGTACTTGATAAAATCTTTCATTGCTAGGTTATGCCAAACAAGTAAGGCACATAGACAGCATAGAGGGTCCAGCAATTCTCAGAATTCCCACTTAAACTAGTCCAAGATTAAGGTGGTGGTTCTCAGGTCCACTAACCCATACAGCACATGTGATACACGTGTTCTATACCAATCAATCTAAATCTGAATTTGTGGGGAACCTACATATGGATTAAAAGGAGAGAGAAGAGATCAAGAGAAAAACAATCTATGCTGGTTTCTCACCATTATTATCCCAAACTGGGAAACTCACCTCTTTATTAGCCTTTATAAGGTAGTAGAGGAGCAGAAACAGAGGGTCCATGGGTGTGGCAAAGTGGAGAAGACCTCCTATAGATTAAAAAGAGAACAAAAGAGAATTAATGTCTGAAGGACAATTTAGTCATTTCGTCTTAATCCCAACATGGAAACAATTCATTGAAAACTACATGTGAAATTTCACATGTGAAGCTCTTCTTACACAGGCCCAAGATTCTATGAGTCTCTCAAAAGGCAGAATGTGGTCCATAAGATTTTACTCCAAAGAGCTTCAAATCCCTTTGTGTAGATGAGACCCAAGACACTGAAATCAATCTTTAACTTTCCATTTCTCTTTAAAAATAATTTTTAACAGAGGTCCTCCCCACTGCCCCAAAAAAGCAAGGGTTGGGGAGAAACATGAACAGAATGTGAACCATGCGAACATAGGAAACTTATATGTTTATCTATAAAGCTGCAGTAAAACATAATTTCCTGTGCTTTTGAGGACAAAGCCATGGGAAAGCAATAATATTCTCTCTGTACATAGCTCCTTCTCTGACCTGTGGGCTCACAGCTCTGAATTGCTAATGACTCAAAGCTCAGAAGGTTGTTACCAACTCCAGACATGACCCCATCCCTTTACTCCAAAGAAAAAGGCAAGAGGGCAGGAGTCTAACAAGACTGCACATAAGAAAATGGAAACTCTGCAGTAAGATTAATGTTGCGTCCAGGATAAAAGGAAAAAGGCAAACCAAACAAACTAGCCTAACTACTCCCTACTTGTCTTTCTTCTATCACACTCCCCTCCAAGCTTCCCCCAAAACTTCTTCTTCCACAGAAATGAATCAGAAGAGGAATTTCATCAAATTGAACAATAAACAATTCATTTATCTCCATACTTATTATTCTGGTTTCAGGAAATACATGTACTTACTTTTATTCTCTAACAGAGCAATTTACCTACACAGCCAATAAATTCTAACCCTAAATTATATATATGAATCCATTTCATAGTAAGAAAAAAAATTAAGGAAGTAATTTCATATTATGACATTAGTTGACTAGTTTTTTTAAAGTAGAAGTATATAGAAACAACCTATCAGGTTCTCTAAGTTCATTTTATGAGTAGGTTTCTAGGTCTAAAACAATATACTTGGTGGCCGTTCTTATAAACAGCTCTTTAAGGTTAAATTTAAAAAGAAGACAATAATGAACAAAGCAGGTACTTCTGCTGTACCAACTCAGTCTAGGGGAGATGATCACTATTTCCCAGTTTCATCTGGATATTGCTGTGTCTATCCAGCTAGACACAACTGCAAATGTACATATTGCATTAGAAGTTAGAATTCTCATTCACTGCCAAATGAACAGCACAGGAGCAACAACAGAAGGGAATGCATATATTCCAATTACTAGACTATACATATACTACCATTGCATTTTGTCAACTAAAATCCACTTTAATTCTTCTCATACATATAGGTATATAAAAATTATCAGCAGCATGAAATCTTTTTTCTAGACTGTCTTAGAACAAAGGCAAAGTGACCTTTCTACCTTAGCACAAAGTAGCAACATATATAGTCAATAGAAAGCAGCACTCTCTGGAAACGAGAGAACAGGCAGGGAATGCAGAGTGCCTCAACTATCCCATGACTCCCCACCCCATACCCTTCCCTCTCAGAACCATAAAAAAAACATGTGATATCCTTTTTCCCTATAAGTCAACATTACTCCAAATTAAAGGAACATTAAAAAAAAAAATAGAACTTTGGTATTGGGGGTTCTGTGTGTGTTTGGGGAAAGGGGTAGCAGTAGTAATTTATATAACAAAGCATTAAAAAAACTATGTTAGAGTCTCTTCTATAGAAGCTATATAAGTGTCCATTTTCAAGGAAATAAGATGTTAAAAACTTGAAAATCCGCAAATGTGGCTAAGAGAAGAGCAAATAGTTTCTAGTCAAGGCAATGTGCACTCCATGGTACAAAGGTGCACTCCATGGTACAAAGGTGACCTACCTTCTGAAAAGATGTCAGTGTTTTAAAGTCATTAGATAAAAATTTCTTACCATCTAAGATACATAGGTATTGATATAAACTTGCTCAAATTATCTTTCCTTTCTCCTGGATTAAACCCTGCTTTGATGCCAAGGCAGGAAAAAAAAAATCACTGACCAGACTCCAAACCAGGAGGACAGCCCCATATGCCCACGAAGGACGGAAAAAATAGACTATGTTGTTTAGTTAATGGAAATATATACACTAGTCACTTACCTGATTGAACTGACTGATTTACAAACCAAGAATGGTGTTTTTCCTTGAAAACTTTTATTTCAAACAGCTGCTGTAGACACATATCGAACAAGTAAAGGGCTCCTTCCCCTGTTAAGACAAATGTTTTTTATTTGTACATTTTCACACACAAAAAATCAAAAGACTATCCAACAGTTCTGTGGAATGTTCCTAATATAAACATAAACATACACAGATATATATTCTATACAAACTGACTCCAAGGAAAGCTTATAGCTATTATATACAGATGCCTGTTTTCCAGCGCTATAATCCTCACTGAACTTAAACCAATAAATAATAAAAGGCAAATTATTTATCTTAACTATTACAAAGCCTCTTATTGAATCCTCCATCACACCAGGAGGAAAAACCCATTCTCAAACTACCCAAACCTAATGGTTTAGCCAGATGAACTGAGCTGGCATGTTGGTCCCAGACGTGGCCCAGGGCAGTGTGGGGCTCCCCACACACAGGGACCAAGATAGGGACTGAGCCAGCAAATCCTGAAGGCCAGCTCTGAGTGAGAAAGGCAAGGGCCCTTTAATGCATGAAATTTTTTTCTAAACATAGAGGAGTCAAGGACTTTGAATTTCTCTACACCGCATGCTGGGCCTGTGTCCTTGGGGGAAGTTATATAAACCTTTCTGCTCCTCTGTTTCCATATCTATAAAATGAGAGCAATAGTGAACCTACCTCACAGGGTCTTTATAGGATTAAAAAGGGAATACATGCAGAGTTCTTAAAACAGTACAGCACTTGGCACGGAGTAAATGCTCAGCAAATATTAGCCTTTATTTTTTCCATTCTTAATGCAGCAAATACAAACATTTGTTTGAACTTCTGTTGTCTATGGATATTTAGGTAAATAAGAAATTTTACAAGAAGCCTGAAATTTCTGTACATTTACTTTTGTTAAATGCTTTAGAACTTTTGCTGCTACTTAAAACTTCTCCTGAAAAAAATATTTCTCACCTCAACTTAGTTTTATGCATAAGTAGGAGCGTCAAATAGTATAGAGGACAAATTATATTCAATTTAATTTTGAGAAAAAGAAAAGTGGAGGAAGCCAGAAATTTTTTCCTCTCTTGTTGCTTTTATCTTTTTCCAACAACAATAACAACAGCAAGGTACTACCTACCCACTGGCTTCCCCTTGCTTGTGCTATTCAGTAGTATAGTCACCAGGAGAATCCTCTAATTTATTAAGTATCAAGTATCTATGCAAACATTATAAAATTAGCAATAACCTTTTAACATAAATCTTATAAAATAAGTTAATGGAAAAACAATTCCATATAGAGATAAATACTAACATCAATTTTACTACATACCTATTATACAGTTTAATATTTCTGCCTAAAAATTAGAAGATAAAACAGAAAATACACTGAATATAAAATTAAAATGACTTCTGATAAAATATGTATCTCTTCAATATACAATGCTTTTAATAAATAAAAAAAAAAAATCACCCCTTGACAGGAAAAAATATACTACTTTCTGGTATACTACTTTCTGGTCAGAGCAAAATAAAGAAGGTACAGCTAAAAATGAAACCACTCGTAATCTTGGCATGTCAGGTAAAAACCTTCTTTTTTTTAGCCCCTGTGGTTGTTTATTTAACTTTATAGGAGGCTAAATGCACTAAGAAAAGTTGGCTTAAGTAAGCCAAAGAAAATTAATCTGTTTTTAGAGAGAAATCAAATATGCTACTTCGTTTTACCATTATTTCTGATAAACAAACAGGTCTATGGATTAAAATTATGAGTATAAATAAAAAATGTGTAGGACAACTGAATCATCTGAGAAGACTAGTAATGTCATTAGCTTACTTTTGTCACCAGGTAATGCCATTTTACATTAAAAGCTATTCAATCAGAACAAACATACAAAGATAAATAAATATATATACACTTTTAGCCACAATGTTAGAAAAACATTCAAGTTACTATTATCACAGGAAGATGGGGGAAGGAAGGAGAGCTTACCTGAACATGGGTTAGCCAGTTTTACAAACATAAGCCCACTTTTCATCTTCTTTGAAGCATCTTTTAAATATTCTGAAAAGAAATGGGAAGTTTGTAAAATTAACATACTTGCTTTGTCGCTCTTCTAATTTACCTTGATTTTCTTTCTTCTATTTATATGATTTTTCTTTCTAAAATCTTTAACTCAATTCTAGTGCTTAGATGTGTGATCTTGAGCAAATTACAAATTTCTCTGTAAAATGCAGTGGGGTTTTAGGTCATTTTAATTTATTTCTTTGAGAAGTGATGAGGAACAGGACTCTAAGTCAGATGGCCTGAGTTATAACCTTGGCTCAACTACTTGACAGCTTTGTTGCCTTGGGCAAGGTTCTTCATGTCCTTTCTCAGTTCTCACATTAGTAAGATGATGGTAACACATATATTTGCCTTTCAAAGGATTAAATTAACTAATCTCCTGAAAGCTCTTAATGTATTTAGACAAACAGAAATACATAATATATAATTACTAGTATTATTAATTATTATCATTATGAAATAAAACATCTTAAAAATAAATATTTCCTAAACATTTATACTTTTTGGCCCTAACTGTGCTTACCTAACCTTGTCCCCTGCCCATTTTCCAGTGGGGGTATTCATCATTCTTCTACTACTTTATGAGGACTCTTTATGAACTCTATTTGTGTCATACATAGAAAGGCCTTCTTGTTCTCAATTATATTTCTTCTAATACTTTTAGAATATATCTTTAACCTATCTGGAATGTATCAGGGTATAAGATATGGGGAGGAGATCCAATTCTAATTTTTTTTTTCCAGTGAGTTGTCCAGTTGTACCAACACCATCTACTGAATGCCCCATCATTAAAATAATTCCTTTATGCTAAATGTTTAAACTATATTTTATAAGTCTGTCAATAGACATTCTATTTTGATATATTAATTTGTGTCTATATTAACATTAGAACTTCAATATTTTAATTATCATAGCTTTAAAACATATTTTAATATCTTGTGAGGCAAGTCCCCTCATTATGTGTTCTCTACAATATTTCACTGTCAAAGGTTTAATCATATAGTTTAAAACATAAAGACGATGGCAGTTTTATTTATAACAGCCTCTTTACATTTTGAGAGGCATATTCAAAGAACTCATTTAGAGAATCTCTCTCCAAAAGCAATCAGGGGCCTCTGGCGATTAAGGGAGCAGAACAACAACCTACCAAAGAGCAAATCAGAAAGGTTTGGGGAAAGAAAGGAACTCCCTTTACCCACTTCAGATCTTCATAAACTCATATTAGCAAACATGTTTAGAAATTGGCTTACTTATAAATAACTAAAATATAACTTTTTCCTGAAAGTAATAGTGACATTAAATATATAAAGAAAAATACCCTAATTTTGAGATTCCTACTTGCAATCAAGAAGAATAACAGGAACCCAATTTACCCTCCCACCTGATGCAACAAAAAAAGGGGACAAGATACACAAAACAACTATTTTCAAGACAATGGACACTGAACCATGCAGGACGGTGGTCTCTGAGAGATGGGAAACAAACAAGGTGAGCCCCGTGATTGTCCCAGCTTACTGCCTTGAGAGAGTTTCTAGGCCATGGAGCAGAACAGGAGAACCCAGGTAAAGCCTAGCCGACTCCCTGAGTTGAACAGAGGAAGCTGAGTTCTGGAGACACCATGACTAGAGTTCACAGGTCAGCACGCAGGAAAGGAGAGAGCTACAAAGAAAGAAAACCCCAGAGGTCGGCAAAGGGTACTACTGATCAGTGCATGCATATGATATAAAAACTTAAGGGCTGGGAGAAAAACCATCTGAACTTGAATTGGGCCTATTCCCAGACAGACTAGAAAACCTCATAATTCAGAGGACATTGGGTAGAGTCCTCAAAAGGGTCTTGCCTCAGTAATATGGAACAAATGACTGTAAACTAAAAGCTGCTCTGGTTCCACTGAACTAATTTTAAAAGTAAGACCTAAAAGGATCAAACTGTTTCCAAGTACCTTCACTGTGTCCCAGGATGAAGCTCAAGATTTATAGGAATACAAAAATATTCATCAGCCAATAAAGTAAAATTCACAATGTCTGACATCTAATCAAATATTACTAGGCGTTCAAAGCAGCAGAAAAATATGGGCTATAATGGGAAAAATAGAGAAATCAATTATTAAGAAATGGGTATTGATATTAAACACAGATGTGAGAATGAAAATACAAGACCATTAAAAACAGTGTTCTTCATAGACAAAAAGTTAACTAGAGACAGAACATTTTTTCAAAAGACCCAAGTTGAGATGGGATTAATGGCAGATTAATGAACTTGAACACGTAGCAATAGAAACTATCTAAAATGAAAACATATTTAAATTAAAAAGCTTTTAAAAAGAATATCAGTGAGCTGTGGGGCACTTCAAGCATTCTAATAATGTATATGTAATTGGAGTTCTAAAATGCAGGGACGGGGACGGAAAAAATATTTCAAGAAAGTATGGTTGAATATTTTCAAATTTGATGAAAGCTATAAACCCACACATCCAAGAAGTTGAATAAACCAAAGAAACAGGAATAAGACTATACATCAGAATCAATAGTTCAAAAGCAGTAATAAAGAGAAAATCCTAAAAGCAGAGAGGGGAAAAAAGACATTATGTACTGAGGCACAAGGCTAAAAATGACAGTAAATTTCTTGTTGGAAACAATGCAGCCAGAAGATAATGGAAAAACATCTTTAAAGCACCGAAAAAAAACATGATGAACCCAGAGAAAATACTCTTGAAAAATGAAGGTGATAGACTTTCTCAGACATTTAAGAACTGAAAGAATCACCAACTGAAAGACCCACACTGCAAGCAATGTTAAGGGAAGCGCTTCTAGCAGAAGGAATATGACACCAGACGAAAACATGAATCTAAAAGGATTGAGGGCCACTGGTAATGGTGACTGCAGGGGTAAATAAATTAGAATTTTATTATTATATAAATCTCTTTAAACATCACTGACTAAACAATAATAATTTAGTACAGAGTTTATAGCATATGTATAAGTAAAATGTATGACAACAATAGCATAAAGGTCAGGAAGGGAGAAATGAAAGAATGCTATTGTAAGTTTCTTCTGTAATATGTGTAATGTCACTTAAGGTAGAAGTGATTTAAACATGCATACAATAAACCCTGCAGCAGCCACTAAAGTTAAAAAACAAAAAATGCTGTCACTAGTAAGACAACAAAGGAGATGAAATAGAATAATAAAAAATATGCAATCCAAAAGAAGGCAGAAAGGGGGTAACAGAAGTACAAAGAACTAATGAGACAAACAGAAAACAACCAGCAAGATGACAGACTCAAGCCAAACCATGTCAATAAGCACATTCAATGTAAATGGTCTGCACACCCAATTAAAAGGCAGTAACTGTCAGATTGGATAAAAAAGTAAAATAAAACTATGGGGTGGGGCAAAAGTAGATTTACAGTTGTTAGTATAGAAAAGAATAATAATTAATAAAAATAATACAAGAATAAACTGTTTTGTGCACTCACAACTGTAAACCTACTTTTGCCCCGCTCTGTATATTCTGCCTATAAGAAACACACTTTAAGTATAAAGACACAGTACAGGAAAAGAAAAATGAAGGAAGATACAGTGTGTGCTTATCATGCCAACAGTAATGAAAAGAAAGATGAAATGGCTCTGTTAACAACGAAGATTATTTCCAGGGATAAAGAAGGTCATTTCATAATGATAGACGGCTCAAGAAGAAATAATCCTAAATGTTTATACTCATGAATACAGAGCTTCAAGATATACAAAGTAAAAACTGATAGAACCCTCTGCCCCACCTCTAACCACTGTCAACCTCTGATCTGTTCTTCATTTCTGTAATCGTCATCTTGAGAATCTTATATAAATGAACCACACAGATTCAATTCTAAGAATCCTTTAAGACTTTTGTTTCTGCAACTTATAAAAATGTAAAGGATAAAGTTTAACACTGTTAAAAACTTTCCCCCCCAAACTAAAACAGGCTATAGTTCTCTCCTTTTCTCCGTTGCTGTTTCTCAGGTTTTCAGCATCACAGCTTCATCATTCAAGGAATAGAAAAGGGGACTTCTCTCTTCTTCAGCAATATACCCTTTATTTCATTTGGTACTACTGTAAATCTTTTAACTTTAAATTGGTAAATTATTGATTTTTGTTTCCCTTTTTATTTTTGTAGAAAACTTTAGTTCTAGTGATCCTTGCCAGTTCTCCTTTAGCATTCCCATTCCTCCAGAGCTTATAGTAATTAATCTACAAATGCCAAAAGTCTTAAAAAATATTTTTAATAACTACACAAGGAAAGCAGTGTTTCCATTTTTCCCAGGAAGAGCAGTAAATCCAGAGCATCAGCTATAGTCTAAAATGTCAAATTATAAGAACTCTGGAATTATAAGTATAAATAAATATTATGTGTTCTGCTGCAAATGCCAGTGTTCTCTGAAATATGCCTTGAGATATATTAGTGCAGATAACACTGAAATGTCGACTTAACAGGGGAGAAAGTCATCTTTTCTCACACTGTGCTGACAAAAGAACTTGCTGTTGGACTGAATCAACACAGAATTCTTAGTGAGATACTATACTCAGATTGCTTCTGCCTCTTTAACTATAGAATGAATTTCAAAATTAATCTCTCCTACCCACTTCATTCATTTATTAATTAATTGCTGATTAGCAAAAACAGAACCAGACCATACCCATGGGGAACTTTTGGATGTTCCATGGTAGAGACAGATATTGAATTAAACAATCATACAAATGTAGACTGCAAATGTAACAAATGCTATGAAGAAAAAGATGTATGGAATATGAGACCTTATGACAGAGGATATAACATAGATGAGAAAGTCTGGGAAGGCCCCCTATGCCCAGCATTGGTTAAGTTCTTTGCTTTGATGGTTAAGGAGACAAAGGAATTATGCATTCGCTTCATTCCTGAGCCCAACACAGTCCACAGAAGGGTTTTGTTTGATATGCACATTTTAAAAAATTTGAATGAGGTGCCAATATTTGGAAATCAGGTGATGTTACATAAAGTGCAGACTTCAAGTATATTTCCCTAAATATAAAAAACTATTAATTAGGCAAAGATTTTGCCTTATACAATAAAAAAAAACCCTGGCAACAACAAACTCACTTTGTCCAACAGCAACTACCACTCTTTAGTTGCCCTTAGTCTTCTTTAGCATCTTGTACACTCATCTTATGGCTGGATGCTTATCAAATGCCATGTCTGTCCTTACTATAAACTGCCTTCTCACTTGCTAGCTTCTATGGACCCACAGCAGGGCCTAGGAAATAACAGGTGCCAAAAAAATGAACACTTAGTAATAAATACCACCCTCTTATTGAATCTTTTTTATATTACCAAGTTTCGTTTACCAATTTAGGCACTATTCTTGGCACTGATGACATAGCTGTGAATTAGACAAAGCCCCTGCTCTCACAGGAAGACTGACTTCAAATCCCTTTGGCATCCCCTGTCTACTTCTCCACACCAGTCCATCAGACCCATGCTCTGCCCTCACCTCTCAGCCATACAGTCTTACACCACAGGGAACAGGACCCAGATCTGCCAGAACATGGAAGCCCTGAGTCCAGAACTGTGCTGTCCAACAGAAATAAAATGCATTTCACAAACGTGAGCCACATATCATTTGAAATTTTCTAGAGGCCACATTACAAATAGGTCAAATAAATTTCAATGATATATTTCTTAACTCAATATATCTAAAATATTGCCATTTCAACATGTAAATTTTTCATATGAAATGTGTTAGCTTGTTAGGTGGGTTTTTAAAGATGCCTTTTATCTGAAAAAGTTCCTTATTCCTACTTTTCGGAGTTTTTTTTTTATCTTGAAAGAGTATTAGATTTTTCTCAAATGCTTTTCTGTGGCTACTGAGATGATTACATATTTGGCCTTTACTTTATTAAAATGGTATAAGGTATATTAAACCAACCTTACATCCCTAGAATAAATCCCACTTCATCATGGAGTACAATCCTTTTTACATACTCCTGGATTTGGTTTATTAATTGTTGAGGATGCTTGTATCTATGTTCATAAAGGATATTGGTCTGTAGTATTCTTTTCTTATCATGTCTTTGGTTTTGAGTTGAGAAGTTTTCTCTCTTTTTCTATTTTTTAAGAAAGTTTGTAGAAGATTGGTACTATTTTGTTCAATATTTAGTTGAATTAACCAGTGACGCTTTTTGGGATTGAGTTTTTTTCTATGGAAAGATTTTAATTTACTAATGTAATCTCTTTATTTGTTATAGATCTATTCAAAGTGTCTATTTCTTATTGAGTCAGTTTTGGTAGTTTATGCTTTTCTAGGAATTTGTTCATTTCATCAGTTATTTTGTTGGCGTACAGTTGTTCATAGTATGCCCTATGATCCTCTTTTATTTCTGTATAATCATTCCTTCCTGATTTTAGTAATTTGAGTGTTCTCTCTTTCATTCAACAGAAATAAAATGCATTCCATAAATGTGAGCTACATATGTCATTTAAAATTTTCTAGGAGACACATTACAAATAGGTCAAATAAATTTCATATATTTGTTAATCCTCAACCGAGGATATTTTTTTCCATTGCTTTCAGAAGGAGTGGAAGGGAAGGAGGGGCAGGAAGGGAGGGGGAGAGAGAAAGAGAGATATCAATGTGAGAGAGACACATAGATAGGTTGACTCCCGCATATATATATTTAATATATCTTTATTGATTTCAGAAAGAAGAAGGGAGAGGGAGAGGGAGAGAGACAGAAACATCAATGATGAGTCACTGATCTGCTGCCTCCTGCACGCCCCTATTGGGGATCGAGCTTGCAACCTGGGCATGTGCCCTGACTAGGAATTGAACCAAGATCTCCAGGATAATAGGTCGATGCTCAACTGCTGAGCCATGCCCAGCCAGGCTGATATATTTCTTGAGTCTTCTCTTTTTTTTATTCATGACCTAAAGATCTGTCAATTTTGTTGATCTTTTCAAAAGGGTCAACTTTGGTTTCAATGATTTTTCTCTCTGATGTTTTACTGTTCTCTATTTCTGCTCTAATCTTTACTTCCTTCTTTCCACTTGCTTTAGTTTGTTCTTTTTCTAGTTTCTTCAGGTAAAAGTTAGGTTACTGATTTGAGATCTTTTTAAAATATAAGTATATACAGCTGTAAATGTTGTTCTAAAAACTGCTTTACCTGTAACCTTTATGTTTTTTTAATCCTCACCTGAGGATATTCTTTCCATTCCTTTTCAGAGTGGGAGAGAGAGAAAGAGAATTGGCTGTCTCCCACATGTGCCCCAGCCAGGGCTGGGGATCGAGCCTGCAACCGAGGTACGTGCCCTTGGCGGTAACTGAACCTGGGAACATTCAGTCCACAGTGTGACACTCTTAACTACTGAGCCAAACCAGCTAGGGCTATGTTTTTGATATACTGTTTCATTTTCATTCACTTCTAAGTACTTTCTAGTTTCCTTTGTAATTTCTTCTTTAATCCATTAGTTATTTAGGAGTGTACTGTTTAATTTCCACATATCTGTGAATTCCCCAAATATCCTTCTTTTATGGCTGTCTATTTTTATTTCACTATTTGTTGAGGTTTGTTTTATGGCTTAGGGTATGGTCTGTTCCAGAGAATGTTTCATGTTCACTTGAGAAGAATGTGTCTAGTCTACTGTTGTGGAGTGAGAGTTGTTGACATCATCTATACATGTCTCTTAGGTTTCACTGGTTTAGTGTTGGTCAAGTTTCCTATTTCCTTGATGATCCTTCTCCTAATTGTTTTATCCATATTGAAAACTGGTTATTAAAATTTCCCACTAGTATTATTCAATTGTCTATATCTCCCTTGAAACCTGTTATTTTTTAACTCATGTATTTTTGGACTCTGTCATATGTTTATAATTATTTTATATTACTAATAAACTAACCTTGTTATCACTATAAAATCTCTCTCTTTTTTGCCCGGCCGGGCGTGGCTCAGTGGTTGAGCATAGACCTGGGATCCAGGCGATCGGGTTCGATTCCTGGTCAGGGCACATGCCTGGGTTTCGGGCTCCATCCCCAGTTGGGGGCATGCAGGAGGCAGCCAATCAATGACTCTCTCATCATTGATGTTTCTCTCTCTCTTTCTCCCTCTCCTTTCCTCTCTCTGAAATCAATAAAGATATATATATATTTTTAAAAAATCTCTTTTTATATCCAATAACAATTTTTTTCTTAAAACCTGTCTTCTGATATTAGCCACTCCAGCTCTCCTTTGATTACTGTTGGCATGGTATGTCATTTTCCATGTTTATTTTCAACCTATTTGTGTCTTTGAATCCAAAGAGTTTGTCTTACAGATAGCATATTGTTGGATCATGTCCCCTTGCCCAGCATTCTGCCAATTTCTGCATTTAATAGGAAAGTTTAATGCATTTGCATTTTATGTAATTACTGATAAGGTAGGGTTTACACCTGCCATTAAACAATTTGTTTTCTATATTTATATATTTTTGTTCCTCTAGCCCTTTATTAATGCCTTCTTTTGTATTAAAAAGACATTTTCTAGTGTATCACTTTGATTCCCTTATTTCTTTTATTATATTTTTGGGCGAGTTATTTCCTTAATGATTATCTGGGGAATTAGAATTAGCACCTTAACTTACAACAATGTAGTTCAGATTAATACTAACTTGAAAATTTCAATAATATATAGACACTTACCTGCAACATATTCCTTTCTTCCTACCACTTTGTGCTATTAAAATATAAATTACATCTTTATATAAGCCCATTAACAGTTTTATTACTGCCTTACGAAACTGTATTTTAAATCAGAAATAAGAGTTAAAACAAAAATATATTGTATTGTTTATGTTTATCTATGTATTTATCTTTACAGTGCTCTGTATTCTTCATGTGGCTTACAATACCATATAGTATATTTTCTTTTCTATCTGAAGGACTCACTTTATGATTTTTATGCATCAGGTCTACTAGTAATAAATTCTGTTTCTTTATCTGAGAATGTCTTAGTTTCTTCATCAATTCTGAGACGAGTTTTGTCATATATATATAATTTTTTGTTAAGTGTTTTTTTCTTTCAGCATCTTGAATATGTCATACCACTAACTTCTGGCCACTATGGTTTCAAATAAGAAGTCAGCTGTTTATCTTACTGAGCATCCTTTATTTGATACACCACAATCTACTGCTGTTTTCAAGATTATTCTCTCCATTGTCTTTGGCTTTTGAGTTTGAGTATGATGTGTGTAGGCATGAATCTCCTTTAGTTTATCCTACTTAGAGTTTGTTGAGTTCCCTGGATGTGTAGATTAATGTTTTTCATCAAATTTGGGAAGTGTTCGGCAATTAATTCTTCAAATACTTTTTGCCCCTTTCTCTCTCTGCCTTTTGGGACTCCTGTTATACATATGCTGGTATGCTTGATGGTGCAGTACAGGTCTCTGAACTGTGTTCATTTTTCTTAATTCTTTCTGTTCCCGAGGCTAGATAATCTCAATTGATCTATCTTCAAGTTTGTTGTTTCTTTGCTCTGCTAGCTCTTGAGCATAATAGTGGACTTTTCATTTCAGCTAATGTACTTTTCAACTCCAGAATTCATACATTCTTTCATCATTTCCATCTCTCTTTATTGATATACTCTATTTTGTGAGACTTCATTGTCATACTTCCCTTTCATTCTTTTTGTTGTTAATCCTCACCCAAGGATATTTTTTCCATTGATTTTCAGAAAGACTGGAAGGGAGGAAGGGAGGGAGAGAGAGAAACAATGATGTGAGAGAGACATTGATTGGTTGCTCCTGCACATGCCCCGACTGAGGAGAGGATTGAACCCGCAACCCAGGTATGTGCCCTTGACTGGGAATCAAACCAGAGACCCTTGGGTCCGTGGGCTTCTCTAACTGCTGAGCCACACTAGTCGGGGCCCTTTCATTCTTTAGACATGGTTTCTTTTAGTTCTTTGAATATATCTAAAACTCTGATTAAAATCTTTGTAGAATAAATTCAACATCTGGGCCTCTTCAAGGACAGTTTCTATTGGCTCTTTTACCCCGTGTTGAGCCATACTTTCCTGTTTCTTCATGTAACTCATAATTTTCATTTGAATAGTGGACATTTTAGATAGCATAATAATGTGATAATTCTGGATATCAGACTCTCCTCCCCCAACTCACCAGTATTTGTTGTTGTTGCTTATTGTCATCATTGCAGTGGCTACTGTTTGTTTAGTAACTTCACTGGACTATTCCAATAGTCTGTATTCCTTATAGTATGCAACCACTGATGTCTCAGTTAGCTTACTGGTTAGCTAATGATAGACCTGACATTTCCTTAAGTGTTTTGAAGCAATAAGTCTCCCAACATTTGCTGATGGGTTCTGCCTGTGTGTTGGGTCATACCTTCAACACTGAAGCACTTTAAATTTCCACCTAGGTGTTTAATTACTGCTTGCCTACAGCCTCAAAGTCAGTCAGAAATGAGAGATTAGGGCCCTCTCAGGTCTTCCTGGGCATGCACACAGCCCTGCACAGGTGCACAGCCTTCTGATTCCCTAGGAATATGTCAGAACTCTTCAAAGCCCCTTCTGAGTATTTTATTGCCTTATCTTCTTCCCTTTAAGTATTGTTCCCTCAGCAGATGCTACCCTAAACAATTGC